AAAGCTTTCCATACTTGGCACATGTAACTGCAAATGTCTATTTAATGTTTATTTTCTCTACTAGACCACAAACTCCCAGAAATCCAGCTCTCTTTCATACCTATCTTACACCCCCATCAACTAGTAAAATGGGCCATCAATTAATGATTGTTGGAAGACTTTCCTTTTTAAATATTTGTTACTTGTGCAAATGACAGTTTAAGGGTCAAGTCCAAGAGTGCCATGGGTCGCATTTTAATTAAAAAAAAAAAGCCATTCCATAGAGCAGAGCGATTAGAAGTGTGGGATCAGAATCCCATGGCATGGCTTGAAATCAAGCATCTGCCCTTACTGTGCGGATCTGGGCAAGGCGGGCTGTCTCTGTGAGTGAATGAGATCATTTACTTGTTCATGGTCTCATTTCACAAAGGGAACAAAATAATAGTATACATAATATGGCCTCGAGAATCAGTGTTGCTTCTAGAGCACTGATAACAGTAAGGCAGTAAGTTGGCATGTTTTGTTTTTCACTGGGACAAATTATGTTTTGTTGTAGGAGGGAATGGACTTATAGCTCCTTTTGCAAGACTGGCTAACCCAATTCTTCTCTAATTAAGAAAAGGAAGAAGAAACAAGGAAAGAAATTCAAAATCTCCATTTTGATTTGATGCTGCAACTCAGATGAGCAATTTAAGCCAATTCAACATCTGGCCCAGATGAGCAGTTTAAGCCAATTCAACATCTGGCAAAGAATCCAGTGTCTGGAATCAAAGAATGATGCTAAGCCTAGGCACAAAATTTGCTCTTGACCAGCACTTGCTAATGTGATAGAAACACAAAGGACACCGATTTCTAGACATCTAGGAGTGGACCACAGAGTGCTCCAAGCACCTGTTTTGCTGCATGAATGGAGCCAGGTACATCTACAATAGGAACGCCTGCTCTGTAATGAAAAATACTACAATACTCAGTTGTAATATCATTCCCTCGTGTAAGGAATGCCATTCATTCACTTGTTCACTGAATATGCATGAGTAAAAGGTCCTCCATGTGCAAAGCACTGGGCAAGTTGCTGGGATCTAAGGATGAAATGGCAGTGCTTTCTCTCAAAGAGTTTGCATACTGGTAAATGAGACAATACTGCACACACAAAACTGGATAATATGCACAGTAATGGAGGCAAGTCCAAGGCACAGTTGGAGCAAACAGAAAGGAGTATGCAGTCGGCTTGGGGGAGCCAGCAAAGGTTCCCACTGGAGACAGTACCAGATTCAAGATTTGACAGATAGTCAGGAGTTCATCTGACAGATAAAAACAACTGAGAGGAGAGGGGCCTGGGACAGAAATCAGGTTGTTATTGCCTTTCAGGACAGCTCGGGTGCTGGAGCCAAGAACAGACCTGGAACAAAGTTAACACTATTTTTATAAGCTAGAAAAATATCAGCAGCAGGAGCCCTGGCCAGAACCACCCCCACAAAGAGCAAACAAAGCTCCTCCTATCTCCTGGCTGTCTACTGGGGAACTTACTAACCAGCACCTTAAGAACAAAATGTTCTTTTATCTTTGGTTTTCATTCCCACAAAGTCCTTCCTCTTCTTTTTCCAGCACTGGATAAAGCATGAGTTCAGTTTTACTTGCTCCTTTGATCTTGATTCTCTGGTCCCAGGCTTCTCTTGAGAATGAGAGTCCAGGAGGATTTCTCCAAAGCAGAGAGCTGGCCCCTCCTACCAGTCAGAATGTGGGGGCCAGGCCAGGTCAGCACTTGAAGGGACCGTAACTGTTGGGGCCTGTTTTTGCAAGGTCTGGATGGCATCCGATTCCGACCTCCAAAGCTGGATTCTCACCCTGACATTCAGTGATCTCTTGGCACAGAGTTCATCTAACCATTTCTTGAGGTTGTTTCTGATCTGCAAATACACAGCATCTTAAAGTAGTGAACACTGCGTTCTGTTACAGAAAGCCAGGAATGGACAACTAGGGCCAGTTCGGGGAAGTCAGATAGAATCCGGAAGACTGAGGTTCTTTTCCAAATACCTCTCCTAAGGGAAGATAGCTCTCCTGGTACCCTTCTTCCCAGGGCAGTAACTCAGAGAACTTCCATTTATAAAGCCCCTACTTTGTGCCAGGCATTGTGGTTCTGGAGTAAGAAAACTAAAGAGATACCTCAGGATTGCGTGCCAACTATGTGCCAGATGCAATGCCAGCTGCTTTATCTATTTATACCACTAGTTTTCATAACAACGCTGTGAGGGGGGCCCTTCTCTCTCTTATTGCAGAAGAGGAAACAGAAGTGTGAAGAGGTATGATATATGGTCCAAGGTACACAGGTAGGGAGAATAGGGATTTACATCCAAATATTCAGACTCCGTGTTCAGAGTCCCTATCACAGCATCTGAAACTTTTATTGTTGAGCTACAAACATGCAGGCCAGGAGAGAACAACCAGAATTTTCTCTCCAAAAAGAGTAGGGCTTTGTCTGCTGTGTTCACTGCTGATAATCCCCAGTGCCCAGACTAGTAACAGCCAGGTCTGCAGGTATTCAATATATATCTTTATCAATGACATGGTTGGATGAGTGGAAAAACTTTTTAAGACTTTTAGGCCTCTGTTCTTCTGCATATCTTAGTGGGGGCATAGGCAGAGTGGGAAACGAGGGTGAATGTTCACTCCCAGGCCTCCTCTCTTCTCCAGCCGTGTAATCCTGAAGTGGCTGTTAGGTGAAGGGGAGAGGTGGAGGTCAAAGGGAGGATAAAAAAGATAAAACTTGGTCGTAACTGCTGGCCCTTAAGGGCAACCCTTCAAGAATCCAAAATCGTTCTTCTATCTTTCCACTTAAATAACTTACTTTTGGAAAATATAAGGGAAACTCACTAACTTAAGAGCAATTTGAATTTTGAAAGGAATGAAGGCCTCAGGCAAAAGTTCTAAGAATAAAATTTCTTTCAGTGATTAGGAAAAGAGTGGGTCATGTAATGGCCTGAGCTCCTCCCAGACCAATTCCCCCAATACTGTCTTGAGTGTCTGCAGTTCCAGGTGCCAGAGAGCAAGCAGCTTCCCTCCTGGAGGGCACAGTGAGTCCTGGGGAGAAGGGAGGTCTGGGAAACTGGCAAGGAAATCGAGCCCTGGAGCTCCCCAAAGTGCAGCCCACTTACTTTCAGCCTAAGCTGGCCCAAGCCCAGTGCTTGCCCCCTGGAGGGGGTGGATGACTGAGACTGCTGTCCCAGGGACGAGTGGGAACGCCTCCCTGGCCTCAAACACGATGGAATGTCAGGATGAGTAGGGGACAGAAACCTGTCTAGATCACAAGTTATCTCTGTGCCTGTCCTTAAAAACCAAAACCATGACATTCCAATCAAAAGCACATACTGCTTATACTGAAAAGGGCGAGAAACTCCCTGGCCTGTGATCCCTACTACCATTCGACCGACTCACATACATTATTGGCTGTTCACTACTTCTCAGGCACAATGTTAGATCCTAAACACACAGAGATGAATAAGACAGACATGTTCCTAGATCACTGAGAGCGATCCTACTCCACAAATCTCTGGACTATGTAGAAGAGCAAGATGGCTTAATACTCTGCCACATAAGGAAACAGAATAAACTTTCACTCTATGGGGTAAGGCTGCTTCACCTTACCATTGCTTTCATGTGACTTTATTCATTTACTAAATTGATCAAGCACCTATAGGAATCAAGACACAGGGCTCCGCACAGGTGATACAAGTCCTCGAGGAGCTCCAAGTTTAGTGGAAAAAACAAGCAGATAAAACAGTAATCACAACAATGATGTGATCATTTCTTCAACAGGGGTAGGTAAAAGTGCTGAAAGAAGCACAACCCAGGGAATTTCCAAATGAATCTGAGTGTTCCTTGGAAGGCTACGCAGATGAGAAAGCACCCAATATGAGTCTTCAAGTTAGGGCCGGAGTGGAGGACCAGCCGCGCTGGGAGCAGAATACATGTGCCAAGACGCGGAGATATAATGCTTAGACAGACTTTTGGGAACATAATTCTACACAGGTATTTAAAAGGTAACTCTTGGCTGTAATATGAAGTACAGACCAGAATATCTTTCAAAGTTTGTCTTACCCTGACCCATGGTAAGAAGTTCATTTTCATCATGGCCCAGGGTATACATGCACATGAGTCCACAGAATGGAACTTGCTGTATGAGATGTGCCCTGTTTTCTCTGAAAATTCAATGGTCATCATCCATGAAATTGATCTCATGAGGTCTGAACCATAATTTTTAAAAAACACTATTAGAAAAAAGAACTAAAAAAAAATAAGAAGATATGGCTGCAGTTGCAGTGAGAGATGTTGAGAATATGAACAACCCCCTTCACCGCCCCGTTCCAAAATGCAATGAGGATAAAGGAGAGGATAGAGTTACTATACTTTACTGTAACCTGCACCTCATTTTCTGCCTTCCCTTTAAATTTTGGGGAAGAGACCTTGATTTCAGTTTAAACTCACTGTCCCCTAGCACCACAATTGACACACAGTAAGTTTTCAATGGGTCTTTGATATAATGAATACATAATACATGAATGCTAGCTTTGAGAGTTATTTAGGAGATGAAATCAAGACCACACTCAAGTAAGTGGATATAGGATATAAGTCAAATATACTCTGAAGATAAATCCATTTGACTTTTGAGAGTTTTGGAACACCATTAGAAAAAGCAGTACAGCAAGTATACTGTCATCATACTTGCTAGTTGGAAGTTAAAATATAGTATCTTTCTCAAATTTTCAGTAAACCAAAGAGCCAATTCTGATCTTTTTATTCTATTTCTCTCCATGAAAAAATTAATAGAATTATAAATAAATTCTATATTTGATAAAAAGCTCTATAGTTATAGTCAAATGCCTAACTATGAAAAGGCTTTTTATTATTATATCTTGAATCACCAGCCCTTGATCTTGGCTTTAAAAACAAAAGTGTCCTCTGTTCTGGGGAATAATCCATGCAAAAACAGCATTGGTAGTGAACATGCAGTAAGAGATTATTACCTAGTCCTCCTGCATGGGCATCAATAAGTGAGGCTGCCACAGCAATGCCAGCAGGAAGGCCAAGGTCTTTGGCTGCCTCTGGTGTAAGCCCATTTCCAAGAGAAGCTCCAGGAGGCAGTACTTGGTTTCCTGGGTAGACAGAAGAAAAAACAAATACTTGTCAGTTTGAAAAACACAAAAGCAGACACAGAGTTTTCTTAAGAGGACCCCTCTGCTCCCTCCCTTTCCTCTGTGTTTCTTCAACTTCACAAAGATAGATACCATGCAGCCACAAACCGTCTCTCTGCTCTTTTGATGACAGGTACATGTTCTTGGTTCTTACGGATGATGCTCTGGGGTGCTTTACAAAGTAAGGAGCTCTAAGACATATTTCAATCTGGGGAAACATTCCATTAATAGAAAATTCTAAAAGATACGAGATGAGGCCCAAAAAACCCCAAATTTTTTTCTATTGGATAGGTCCCTTGTAGTAGAGGCTTGCCCCATTAGGTGAGTGTTGTAGGAACCCATCTTTATCACTGTAACAGCTGGTGTTGTTGTGAGAAGCTGAATTCAGCTTCAGTGAATATTTTCTGGGGACTTTTTCACTGCATTGGCCCATTTCATGATGGGTGATTTACAAGCACACCTGCCACACAGAGCGGAGTGTTCAGCAGTTTTGACCAAAAATGGCATGACCTCTGCACCCAACCTTCCCTATTTATCCAATCTGGCTCCAAGTCACATTTGAATTTGTTTGTTTGTTCATTTTCACAGATGAAAAAAGTCCTCAAAGAAAAACATTGTGTTGATGTGGAAGAGGTGAAACAAAAAATGGCACAAACACTAAAAGGAATCAAAATTAGCGAGTTCATAAACTGTTTTGAGCAGTGGAATAAACCATCTTGGTAGGTGTATTGCATCAAATGGAGAGTATTTTGAAGGTGACTAAAGTTTAAACATGAAAAATAAATACGCTATTTCTATAAATAAATTCTGGGTTTTGGGGGTCCTCTCTTGTGGCCTCTTGCAGGCTAGACTGAAATGGACAAACTGTTTCCTCCTAACAGAGCAGCTCTCCCAGAACACCTCACACACACAGGCCACACATCCACTCACACTTCCTGATCACATAAATTCCTCAGAAAGTTGAGAAAAGCTGTTCGTGCAGTTGCGTTCCATCAGAGATTAAGGAAGAAAAGAACTTTGCTCCAATAAAGAATGTCTTAAGACTTTCTCAGTTGGAAAATAAAGTCCAGTCTAATTTTACAAGGCTGCTACTTGCACAACCATATAATACAATGTGAATGGTGTGCTTTGGAGTTGTGCAATGCAATGACCCTGATATTTCAGGTGACCTTGAATTCCTGCAGTCAGTCAGGCCTTCAGTTAAGAATTTACTGATTGTCTTGCTTTTTGTGTGGGCGCTGTGGTGCTGTAAAAGGCAGTCCTTGCAACTCCCCTCTCCCCCCACTCTGTCTAGTTAGGGAGATGAGAGCAGGACACAGAGAACCGTGTCAGTCAGAACAGAATGAAGAGATCCATCTGTTTCCAGGTGTTTAGCAGAGGGTAAGTACCCCCGCCACCGCCACCACCACCACCACTGCCACTGCCAAGGAATTTATCATAAGTATTTCTGCAGTATAAGGAGAGATGGGGGTGGATGGAGATATATGCTAAGATTCCTCTGAGCTCCAAGATTCAATGATCCTGAATGTGTGGTCAGCAATTTGCTTGGTGCTAAGTTACCTACCACTGGTTAAATGTTCCCTAGAGCTCCAGGGAGGGGCAAAGGTGTTTCAGGACTCCTGAGGGTAAAGTTGAAGGTAGGGGTTAGAGGGAGGCAAAGGGTCAAGAGCTCACCAACATCCTCTAATTGGAAACCAAGCACCTCTATGACACATTTTTATCCATTTTAGGTAATAGGTTTCTTTCTATAATTGAATTTGAAAAACGTTAAGCTAAGCAAAGGAAGAAGATGGAAACCACTGCAATGACTTCTAAATGTTCACTATTCAATAATGGTAGCCACAAGGCACATGAGGATTGAGCATTTAAAATGCAGCTGGAGCCCTGGCCACATGGTTCAGTTGGTTGGAGCATCGCATCAACTGAAAGGTTGCTGGTTCAATTCCTGGTCAGGGCACATGCCTAGGTTGTGGGGTCCATTTGAGGTTGGGATGAGTATGAGAGGCAACCAGTTGATGTTTCTCTCTCACATAGACATTTCTCTTTTCCTCATTTCCTCTCTCTCTCTATAATTAATAAATTTAAAAAACAATTTTAAAGTAACTGCAGTAACTATGAGGCCAATTTATTTCACTTTAAATTTAAAAACTGATACGCAATTCACTAAATTACTAAAAAGTTTCAAGTACATTAGTAACACTTTGGGTGTGCAAATCTACTTTTCAATGTTAATTTAAGAAATCTAAATCAAGTATTTATAATAGAAATTCAGTGTCTGAACTGAGATGTAATAGGTAGGAAATTTACACCAGATGTCAAAGATAATACAGAAACATAAATAACAGCTAAGGAGGGAAAGCTGGGGGGGACGGGATTGAACAAAAAGGGAAAAGGACTCATGGATGTGGACAACAGTGTGGGGATGGTCAGGGGAGGGGGTACAAGAAGACTAAATGGTGATGAAAAATACAATAAAATTATGAAACAATAATGTATATCAATTACATCAGGGGCGTCAAACTCATTTTCACCGGGGGCCACATCAGCCTCGCAGTTGCCTTCAGAGGGCCGAATGTAATTTTAGGACTGTGTAAACGTAACTACTCCTTAACTACAGGCAAGGAGCTCAGTGCTGCCACGGGATAGAAACCAGGTACCAGGCCAGATAAAACAAGGTGGAGGGCCAGATTCGGCCTGCAGGCCTTGTGTTTGCCACCTGTGAATTACATGTTGAAATATTTTCAATTTATTACATTATATATTTTAAAATTAATTTCACCTATTTGTTTTCTCCTTACTGTATCTACTAGAAAGTTTTAGGTTATATACATCATTCTTACTGCACTTCCGTTGGATTTCTAAGGTCAAGATGCTGAAACCCTAGGTTGGGGCACAAGGAGAACCTCCAGTCTGCTTTGAATGCCCAACCTGCACAAACCTGGAAGGCAGCAGTGCCCTGAGCTGGGACAGTTTGGCTCCGGACACTATCTCAATTGTGTCCCCACGTCTCATACACACAGAACAGGCAGCACTCCCATTTACTGAGCACTGCGGTACCAAGGCTGTGCTGAGGACACATCATGCACTTTCTCACTTCATTGTCACAACAACCTTATGCGAAGGGTACTATCACTGTCCCCACGCACAGGTGGATGGGCAGAGTCACCTTCAACGAGGTAAAGTGGGTTCCCCACAGTCACAGAGACCACAGACGCCACTCCAAAGTGACACCTAGCTACTTTTTTATTCATTACATTACATTTTGGTACAGCTGTTTTGTCAAAAAAAAAAAAAGGACTTTTTAAGTGAATTAAGGTACCAAGAGAAGTATTTTTGGGACAAATATTACGTAGGTTTAAAAAGTAGCACCATTTGGAAACCATTCCCACCACAGGCATCCCTCACTTAATTGTGCTTCACTTGACTGCGCTTCACAGTTGTTCCGTTTTTTTACAAACTGGAGGCACGACCCACCACCAGCAAAAAAATATGACTTGTTTTATTATGCGACTTGACTAGCCTTATTATGATACTTGATTTATTGCAGTGGTCTGGAACCAAACCCTCAATATCTCTGAGGTGTGTCGGTACATTCAGAATTTTTTTAAAGGATTAATTTTTATAGGAAGGTCTAAGTGGGAACTCAGTTTCACTTTCATCCCCAACTTCACAAACATAAAAGGTGTAATTTTCACTTTAAAAAAAGAAAAAAGGTTCCAGACAGGAGGAGGATGAGCAGAGTGGGTCTTCTGGACTATAATTCAGAAAGAAGCCTTGTGGGGTGCAGAGAGAGCCCTTAGCTTGCAGTCAGGAGTTGTGGGTTAGAATCCTATGCTGGAGGACCCCAGGCAGATTTCTCAGTAGACAGCTTCTTGAGCAAAAGCCAAGACAGAGGGGAGAATGCCAAAAGGGCTGAGTCAACCGAAACATAAGCTGGGCTGGGAACCGGCAGGGGGTGGCGGAGGAGACCGATAGGACAGGAGAGGGAAGTGAGGACAGTGCCTGCATTGTCATCGGACTAAGGTGCAGAACTTCACCAGGAAGACCACTGGGAGCCTCTGAAGGAGCCTTACGCCAGGGAGTGCGGTCACTGGATTTGTGTATTTTTAAAGCGTTCTCTGGCAGCATGGAAGCAGAGGACAGAATGGGGTAAGAGGGAACAACTGTGAAGTTCTTTCGGTAACCAAAGAGAAAAGATAAGGGCCTTCATTAAGGTATTGTGAGATGCAGACATAGAGGCAGATGGGAAGGATTGTGTGGAGCAAGAAATGACAGCTCCCGGTGGCTGCTTGGATATGCAGAGTGTAGTAGGAAGGAAGATGTCATCACCTGGACCCCCAGTAAGGATGGACTTGAGCCCATGGCGGGAGTGAGGCGAGCAGACAGCCTCTGGCTGCCAGCTCCTCAGGCCACCTTTGACAAGGTGATGTGTTTCCCAGGGCAGCTGTACCTGATGACTTAGCAGAGTGGGGACAGAAAGGCTCTGATGGGCACCACTCACTCCTGAGCACTCTGCTGGGTTGGCTGAGGTGCTGTGGGACTGCACCTGTCCCCACTTCCCGCTCTGCCCAATCCTGCCCACACCCCCTTCCTCTCACAGGTGGTACCCCCTGACAAACATCTTATAACCCCAAAGCTGGCATGGTCTCTGCCTCCAGAGAACCCAGCCTAGGGCAGTGAGCCAGGCCTTGTCCTTAGTCCAGTGGTCTAGGAATGAAAATAAATACGCACAAGGATTAACATTGCTCCTTTGAACTGGAACCACAGCCTTCAGGAATAGTGTATCTGGACCCCAAGCAGGAAGAAGCTTTGTGTATCTAGAGACCAAAAGGCAACAGCTTGGCAAAACACAGGATGATACCAATAGGTGGGCCTCTGGGAGAAACCACCCATCAGATCACACTTCAAAGGCATCTGCCAGAGATGCATTGTGGGGACTAGAGGAGCTGTCAGAGGCAAGC